GGGAAAGACAGAGAAACTCTCAGTTCTGAATTTCTTGGACTTGTTCTTCTTCAGGCTTGCGCCAGATTCCGATTCCATCAGTGGGGCATAAACTAACTTGAGGGCATTGATACTTCTCCAAGAACTCCAGTTTTGGAAAGTATAACAAATTGGCTCTTCTTTTGTTTCAGGCATCATCATAATCATTTTGAGCTCTGTGCTGGAAAATGAAGTTCTTGTACCAAGAAGCCGATAGTCTCGGTGTTCTCTCTTGAGTATCGAAATCAACGTGGTACAGACCGAATCGTATGGTATAACCAGATATCCACTCAAAGTTGTCTAGTAAGGACCAAGTGAAGTATCCTCTTACATCTGCTCCTTTCCTGATTTCACCATTAGCTTTAGTATTTTAGAATCAAAACATGTTTAAGTTTTGTCTAATTATTATTACCTCATTGCTCTTTTGAGTGCATCTAAGTAATTACTCATGAACTTCACTCTCCGGTAATCGTTTAACAAAACTCCGGTATTGTTCTCGCCAAAACCTGTAAAATTGATAAGGATCAAAACTTTCGCCAAAATCGAACAAACAAAGATATTTTGGGACACATGCTTACCGTTTTCTGTTACATACAATGGAATGTTTTTGTACCGCTCTGTTGTGTACATCAACATCTTCTCCATTCCTTGAGGATAGATATTAAACCAATCTACTCCGGTCTACATCATCACCAAAACCAAACAAACTCAAAGAATCTTTCTCAAAATCGGTTTTTTTTTATTTACTTTCGATTAGTCGGTCTACATACCGGCTCTCCTAAAGGTAAACCATCTTTATGAGCGTTTGAATATACGAAACCTTCAGCTCTCGATCCTCCTTTGCCCGGTTCACAAGCGGAATGCAAACAGTCTTTCGCGTATCTGCTTGTATACTGATTGATCCCAATGAAGTCTAATCCACTCTTGGAGCTTTTAAGATCATCCCTTGTGAATTCAGGAAGATCTTCTCCAATAATTTTCCGCATTTCTCTTGGATATCTTCCAAACACAATCGGGTCCAAGAACCTATACATTTCACACTCTTTCGATTCTTGGTTCGGCATTTGGTTTAAGAAGGTAAGAATCTTTAAACCGGGACAAGCTCTTACCAATTCAAGTAGAAAGCTTGAGCTCTCTCCACAGCTAATCTATCTTCTAAAGAATCACTAACCGGTTCAAACCAAATCGTGTTCATAACTATACCGATCTTTCCTCTTTGTTCTTCCTAAAAAAGGAGTTAAAAACTTAAAAATCAAAATCCAATTTTGAGTAAACCGTTCCAAAATTATACCGTTGACATTTCGGTTACCTGATATTTTGTCCGGTATATGTTGACGGCTGCTAGATGTGAACGGATAATGTTGTGGGCAGCTACAAGTGGCTCTATGTCAGAATCGCCACGTGTGCAGTTTCCGAAAGCCTTGGAACACTGAGATGGCGGGTAAGTCCCTTTACGGTAACCCAAAATCACTTGAACGTTTGGTTCGTTGAAAGTAGACCAAAACTTAACTCTATTCCCAAAGTATTGGAAGCAAATGTCTGCGTAATGTTCGAAATCTTCCCTGAAAACAACAATTATTTTCATTTTCAATGTATGTATCTTACGCATATATTGTGTTTGTACACTTACCGGATTTGTGGATTTAGCCAACTTCCGTATCTAAATTCGAGTTCTTGAGGAATGTCGTAATGTGTCAAGGTGACAAATGGCTCGATACCTGAGAATGATCATTGAGCTAAGTTTTATTTTTGTTTTCTTATTCTCGAGAAAATTTATTAACAATTATTACCTCTTCTTAGAATATCATTGATCATACTGTTGTAATGATCAATACCAGCCATGTTCACGTCTCCAAATCTTCCCACTGAAAACACAAAAAAGGTTTTGAAAAAGACTGAAAAAGAGTTTGGTATAGAGTGATACAAGAATATTACTTGGAAGAATCCGAGCCCATGATAACGAAAGTCGATAGCTATTAACTCCAAGATCTTCCATCAGATCCAAATCTTCCTGTTAAAGTTTTTAAAAAATCACAACTTTTTGCTTGCTAGTCACTTAATTATAGATTTGTGTAGTAAATAGATCGATATTCGATATTTCGATATTTCGATGTATAGATCTACAGTTAATTACCGGATATCGATGGTAATGATCAACAGCGACTTTCCCATGGCTTCCATCAGAAATTTTTCCTATACAGTGACATATCAAGAAAGGTATATAGACCAGTTTTTTTTGGTGACTTGAGCAACAAGAATGGAAACAAAACCCTAAAATTATTTTATCACAATTCACAAAAGTGTTATGTGAGATCTAACCAGGGATGCTTGTGAAAACGTCCCAATTGCTTAGCGTTTTGCCGTCAGTTAGGTAAGCTCCTTCATACTGAATAACCATAAGAGCACACAAAACTAATGTTGAGAAGGAAATTGTTTTACTGAGCATTGAAGCAAAAGAAAGAAGAATTAGGTACCTGGTAAGAAGAAGAAGCAGTGCCAAAGAGGAAGTTTCTCGGGAAACTGAAATTCTCTTCACTGTTAATCTCTCTCAATGAGATATGATCATCATACCATGCTGATGATGAGACCAGTGTTATGATAAAGCAGAGGAACCAAAGTGGAAACTGAGAAAGGTACATTGATGATTTGGTCTCCATTGATTCAGAAACTATAGTTTTTTTTTAATTTGTTGTTCAAGAGTAAGGGCTATAACGAGGAAAATGAGTGGCTTTGTTCACTTTTTGGTTGATAATATATTTCACCTTACACCGACATAATGATTTGAAACTTTGAACTTTTTTGAGTGATGAAATATGACAAATAGTATGCAAGATTTGCTGGACCAACAAAAATATATTTTGTTTCTATTATTGTTCAATTTATTCCATGAACTATTTCTAAAAAAAATGACTTAAGATTGCCATAAAGTAGTGACAACGATATTTTTAAAATTATTAGAAGGTGACAAAAGCTCGTATAACACAAATGATTGGTATATCCTTGTTGTAACCATTGTTTGTCTTCAAAAAGTGGACGAATCACATTGTTTACATTTTTAGTAAAATTCGAAAATTCTTTTGATTTTATTGGAAAAGATTGATAGATATTTAAAGGTTATCCCCCACCTTATCACCGATGGTTCTCAGAACTCCACTTATTTGTTTTTTCATGCGATATGGGTTTCAGACAACAGTTCATTTGATATGGCGGAAAAAGAATAGTTGGTAATAACAGTTCGCAATAAGTCAGTCATCCGATAATGTTTCAACAAAAGTCACATCTATTGTAAAAGCGATTTTTTTTGTTTGAATAAATTTTACATTCATCTCAAACAAAGAAAGAGATTTGAAGAGTAGAAGAGAATCTCAAGGTTTGAAAACAAAAACAAAAACAAAAACTAATAAACACAGTTTCATGATAGACGATATATAATGTCATTACCACATGCAAGAGTGACTTAATAATAACAAGGAGTAAAAGTAGCATACACTTTGACAATAAACGCCAACCGCAAAACGCTAAGATGTTCGCTAGTGAATGATAAAATAATAACAAAGAAAACGCAAAACGCTAAACAACAAACCGATTTTTTTTTTGTTTTGGTTCCAGCAGAAGTCAATACCCGAACCTCATTACCCTTTTCTTTCTCAAAGCCTCTTCTTTTGGCTAAACCCGCAAACAAACGCGGATTGAGATCAAACGCAAAAGGTGCGTTCTTGACTTCCTTTGGAGAATCCTCAAAAGATTAAAGAACAAGAAACAAATATTACCATTAACTCCTAAGACCTTACCTTCTCCCTCCCCTTTACTCCTTACCCTTTACTTCTGTAAAAACACCCAAAAATAAAAAGACGGTTTTTGTCATGTGCAATTAATGCATTCGCGACTTAAATATTTAACACATCAAATATATACGTTTAATAAAATAATTGGACAAAACATTAAAATATTTTGAAATGGTCTTAAAAAGAAGGTAATATATAGAGAATTTCTTACCTGAAAACTTTGAATTCAAGTTCCATCGCAGGCCACTGCGGCTTTAATCCGCTCGACCGTGCATTTGATCAGACTATTGACTGTAGCAACTGACCCAAGAGAGAGTTTAGCGGTTGGAACAGAGTCCACAAGTATTTGAAACGCTACAGTAAGTAGTGAACCACAACTACTCCCAGTAGTAACCACTTCAAGATTATTTCCTTCTACTCCTTCGGTTCCGGGACCACCATTTCCTTCTCCTCCTTTTACTGAGCCATCAGGCAATATAGCGAATCCGGATGGTAACAAAGCGACGTAATCCGGATCGCCTCCACTAAGGACTACGTTCATTGCCATTATATCGACTGGTGCGTATATCACATATGATCCTGATGCGTCCGTACAACTTTCTTGTAAGATCAACATGTTGCTCTGTCCTGAGTTCCCACTCTGTTTAATACAAACGTAAGAATCTCAAAACTCTTTGCAAATCAGGACAAAAATAAAGAACAAGTTCTGTTTTATACAAGAACATGACTTACATTGACTCGAAGCAAGGAGACACAATTCCCCGGATCACGACCGTTTGCGATATGAGCCATTTCTTGAACCAAACCTCCGTTCGAAAGTATATCCCACTGCGAAATCAAATTCAAACCCTTAAATTAGTAGACTTGCGAATCAAGGAAGTTAAAAAAAAAGGTTTTTTTTGTTCTTCTTTCGATTTACCTCGCTTCTCGAGTTTTCGTCTCTAAGGAAATCAAACACTCTTTTTGTAGCCACAGGGATCCAGAAAGAAGTAGCAGCACTCAAGACAATTCCTGGAGGCCTTCCTGGATCATCCATGCTCTTTCGGGTCATAACCCGAACATCGTCGGATCCTGTTGCGGCTAATGTCGTCCACGCGTGTGCAGTCGACGCGCCAACTCCACTACAGAAGCTCATAACCATCCTCTCCGCCAGTTTCAGCATGCTCTTTCTCCCCTCAGGGCTTGTTATCACTTTTATAATTACCATAAAGTAAAGACCCAATAAGTAATTGCTCAGTTTTGAATTTAACCCCAGTAGTTACTAATTAATCAAAATGACCCTCAAAAAGGTAAAACTTACCGGAAAGATCACTAGCGGGAATGTTGCTGGCCATCGAACTAGCGAGCCGCTCGCATTGACGGTCAAGTGTAGCCACCCAACGTTTCGCACCAAAAGCTAAACCGGTATTAACCAGTGGTTTATACATGTTGTGAACCGATCTATCATCCACCTCAGCATGCTCTACCCATGTTACCTTCAAACAAAATACCAATTTTTTTCTTTTCAGTTTCTACACCTCATACTTTTATAATTAACAATTTAGACCTTGAGTTTTACCTTGGAATAACCATTCTGCAATTCTTGAATCAGACAACCAGATGGTCTTCTTCTGCTTCTAGTGATCGGACTAGGACTCGGTCGCAGGCTGTCCAAAGAGACATCAACAACGGCCCAAATACCGTCGCTATGCTGCTTACAGTACCTTACGAAGTAGTTCTCACGGGTCGGGACAAGCGGTGACGGGACTTGGAACTCTGCTGTCATCTTCACATACCGTACAACAAAGATCAAACACAACAGAAATCGATTACAACATGATTTTAGAATAATAGCTTGTAAAGCAAGTAATAGGTCGATCTTTTTCTGTTTGTAGTCTCATATATACCACTTGTAGTGCCCCATTGTAGTTCCCTGCAACGCCGGTTGAGAGAACTTCAAGCGTCAATGCTCTCGATACAATCCCGCAGAACACACTAGACCATTGATTCTATACAGAGAAAAGAAGATCAAATGTATTATCTTAAAGCTAGTATCTTTGTTGAAGTTTGAGAAGATAAAGAGTTGAGGAAACAGATTGGTACCACATCCATTAGGATCTCAATGAGATTGATATGATTCATGATAACGACAGTGGACTCTCTTGAAGCTTCTGATCTCAAACCAATAGGTTTCGGTCCGATTCCTCTTGGGAACGTTCTAAAGTACTCTTCTTCATTGAGAATCTCTACCGAATTATTGCTTGAAACCCACAAGGGATCACCAGTTTGAGCCATTCTCACAAGCTCTTCCATAGCTGCAACCGCTAGCTCGACAATCATGGGCTTATCAGCCTCAGAAGGGATCGAAACCGACCTCAAAATGTCGCTTGTTCCATACATTTCCCCTACGAAACCCGTCTGGTTACTGTTATTAGTCCCAAAGTTTCCAACTTCAAGATCAAGCGAGCGCGAGGCAACATGGTGAGAAGAAGTGAGCTGAGGGAAAGATGGGGAATTAGTCAATAATGGCTTCCCTACGTATTTAGCAGCTATGGCAGAGATCCTATCGATTTCTTCACGTAGACGCGCATTTTCGATCCTCAAATGCTGCTCATCAAATGACATTTCTCCTATTGCCGCAGGACCACCACAGTTTGGACATGTTGCGTTATTTAGAGCATCCTTGTATCTATTGTTCTCTGCTCTGAGCTTGTCGTTGTCTGACTTCAGAATCTGGTTCTCGTGCCTCTCTTGATGCGCCTATAAAAGATCACAACTTTCTCTTCTTTAGGTTTCATCTCAAGATATATTAAATGAATAGTTATACTCTATAACCATTTAAAACAAAAATTTGGAGCCATGTTATGCAGTTAACTAACATAATGTGTTTGAAGATATAAGTTCATAGTTAGTTAGCTAAATCAAATAAACTTTAGTTAGAAATCGATTACTAATTAGGCTTATATAGCCATTAATGACATACAAATTCATTTGATTACTAAGGAAAAACCAACATTATTGAAGATCCGGGGCTAATTCATACAAATATTTATTGAACATAAAGAGTAAATCACTGAAATTAGTATTAGTATGTACCTTCATTTGAGTGCGTTTGTTTTGGAACCAAAACTTGACTTGAAGAGGTTCTAAACTTAGCTCGCGACTCAGCTCTTTTCTTTGCTTATCGTCTGGATGAGGACATTCCTTAAAGAACCTAAAACCGAAACCAAACAAACAAACATAAACCCTAAAATCCTCAACATTAAAAAAATATTTTCAAGGGATAATTTTGTTTTCTTACGACTCAAGCTCTTGAATCTGGCGTTGCGTGTGACGGTGGTAACGCTTCTTTTTGTTAGGTCGTTGATTAGGATCTTGAAGCTCTTCACCTAAAGGATTATCCATGGTGACTTCTGCACCGGACTTAGTCTCGAAATCCTCTTCTCGGCTTCCGGTAATACCTAAATCGTTATCGGAGTTTTTCGGGGTCATATCGAAGATATGATGATGAGACTCGAACATGTTTGGATGATACATGATGATATTCTTGATCCCTATCGATTTTTTGACGTTTTTATGAACTTTTGATTTCCTTCAAATCTTCAAGATGATTATCCAAATCATTTTGGTTGATTTATCTCGATTCTCTTCTCCAATTATCTCCCACTGTCCAAAATCAAAGATCAAATGGTCACGTAATATATAAATGAAGAGAAGGATCAAAGTAGAAACGGAAGATAAATCTTAATATTATGGAAAGTAATCCTCTAGATATTATGAAACTATGCTTACCTTTAATTATATAATTATATATATGGTCTTTTTCACATTTCACACAAGTAACCGAAAAGCAAAATATTGGTCTTTTCTCTCTTTTTGATGGTTATTTATATCTATACGCTTATGTAAGCATATGTTTTCATCTTATCAAAAAGGGTATAAATATAAATGCACCCACTACATGACATAACCTCGTTGCATATAGTAAAAACAATTTATCGGGAAATTCAAATTAAAAAAAATGGAACACGAATCTTCGGATGAATATTTAACTAAATGTTCCGATAATATACGAAAAATCAAGAGGAAATGAAATAAAACACTATAAGGACATCATGTATTAAGAAAATTCATCAAGTAGATATCTATCCAGAATTGGAATATAGTATACATACACATACGTGTATACACAAAAGGACAATGATATATTGATATATAATAAACAATAGACGATAGAATCAATCTTGGATGTCACAAGACTGATGAGCACATCATTGGATCTATAAGTAAACGCAGAGGTGGACAAAGAAGAAATGAATGAAGAGATTGTCGATCTCCAAGAAACCCTAATTTTCTATTAGCTTATACATAAAAGTCGACAAAAATGATTTTACTTACTTTTTAGAGTGAATCCCAAATCGATATCATATGGTTGATTCAAACTCGAGTTGTAAGAATTTTGAAAACCTTACAGATAGATCTCTATATTTTTTTAAGTGTTGGTTTGGAATCTTGAAGTTTTGGATCGAACTTAATGATTTTTTTTCTCTCTCTTTTCGTTTCTCTATCTACATAAAAGCTAGTGAGATGGAGAAATTGACAAGTTAACGAAGCCAAGAAAAAAACGTTTTCTAGTAAAAAAAGAAAAAGAAAAATGGATTTTCCTCTCTGTCTCTCTCGGTGGAATTTATTTAAATTGACCTCGGCCTTAGTGTAACAACAATTAAAAAAGAACCATTTTCAGCAAAACCTAATTGAAAAAAGTAAATCAAGGGGAAAAAAAACCCACAAAAAAACTAATTAAAAAAATGTGTAGATAGAGTTAACTAAAGGTTGACATGAAGTCAATGGCCTTTTCCTACACAAACAACCAAGTTAAATTCGTCAAACTCAAACTCCTTTTACACTTCTAACTCCATAGAGGTTTATTTTGTTGTAACGCTTGTTTTTAGATCGCCACATGAACACACTCATTTTAGAAAAAATAAACAAAATAAAATGCAGATCTTGAAAACAAAAACGGATCGGTTACGATGAACAAACATGCAATATAGATCTGAATCCCCAGCAAAACAAAGACAAACTACACATATATGTTTTATCAAAAAAAAAAAAAAACATCTTTATTAATTCCTAATAATTAAAAAGTTTGAATAAGAGCATAATTTGTCAAACCTG